CGCGTTCGCAGGCCTTTTGAGGCTTCAGACTCTCGGGCCCCGGTTGTATATATGTGAAACCTCTCAAAGGTCCCTCCCCTGCAGCTCGACGTCGGCTCCGCTTCTTGTCAGTTCAGCTGCTGTGAAGGAGATCCAGTCGCCACGTGCGTCATAACTGGGGATGTAGCAGTAATCCTCGTTGTCTTGGCCTGTGCCGAGCGGTCTCGCGGTTCAGGTCTAAAAAGGATTAATACGATATCTAAATTGATTTCGCCATGTGCGCTACAAGTATAAAGTTATAAACAACAATAGCACTCAATGTATCGCAATCAATTTACCACTTCCAAAATCGGGCAGCTGGACCTTGACAGATCCAAACTGAACATACAAGTCGAATTGTTCTTTCAAACTTAACGTGGAATCATCGTTGCCCTTTTCCTTCTTTTTCCCATCTTCCTTCCAATAAGTTCTAAACAAATCCAAGCCACAGTAGACCGGGCAGTTCATCTTCTGTCCTGACCTCAATTTTTGCGGGTCTTCAGTGAGAACACGTGGCTGATCGAGCATCAAATGTTCGTAATGACCCACCACTTGGCCATGCCGCTGGATTCACGAATGCACAAATGCACAATAATGCACTGCCGGCAACGCCCATCGTTGCTGCTGAAAAGAAAGGAACACAACACGTGATAATGTGCATTGTTCGTTTCTATGTATTTTTGTGTTTTCAGGGTCATGTCTCCTGGTGTAGGCACTACACTGCTATGTTGTGTACGGTACGCCACGGGTTCGCAGCCAGTCAGAGATAAGGGTTGAACTTCTCAAAATGCCTCATGTTGAACTTGCTGAGATTCACCATCGCAATACATCCGTTGCGGCATGAACACCTCTTCCAAGGCGCCAGAAATCCACCAACGGATAGCAATAGTTCTCATCGAACCAGGGGTCGTAGCCTTGGATGACGGCAATATCCCTAGGGCTCCTGGCCTATCTCCGTTTCGAAGACGGTTGGGGTGGGTGCCAGGGATGGATGCCAGGGAGGGTTGTCAGGGGGGCCTGTCCCCCACCGAACCTGAGGATATGGGCAAGGACCCCTAGGGTATATTCCCCAAAAGGGCTTCACACAGTTCGGGAAAATAGCAATTACCCAATCCGCAAAACCAAGTAGCACTTCTGAGAGTGAGTTCCGCAGCGGCACTCCTCGCCCTGACGCAGGTGCAGGTGCAGTCAGAGGTGCAGGTCAAAATCTCAGATTCAGAAGGCCCTAGATTGAAGTGGGCCTGGCTGTGGCGGTCATGCCACCAAGATTGTCTGGGCACTTTGCTACATGATAAGACCAGGTTTGGACTCATCCCCCTCGACAGCACTCCATGTATGGAAGATATATGGCTACATTGAACCCCGAAACTAATCAAATGTGGGCAAATATGGCAGTCGCATGGGGCATGTCTGAGTTGGGGGTTTGCGTGGTCTTTGTTTGTGTGTGAGGCCAGCCGAGCGAGTCGCGTTCACTACCATGTCTTGGTTCATTTAGCTTTCGTTCGACCCACCATTCGCAGCATTGCTGCAAAAACACCCTCACACTCATAGCCATTAATTGGTTCGTGGACCCAGGGTCAAACCCGAAGACTGCAGGGTCAAACCAGAAGAGGCACCGGCCCGCCGGCCGCAGTCTTCTTTCGGACTGACTTGAAGAACTGGAGAAGAAGCGCTGAAATGAGCCATGAGCAAAGCCTGCGGCCTGCGCCTGGAGGCCCCTCCGGAGCGCGAAACAAAAAACGATAGGTATATAGGTATAGGATATAATAGGTATATAAAAATGTAAAGAAATATATCAATATATATATATATTATATAGAAGTTCTTTTCTCGAGGCTCCTCATGTCTCTTCTCCCTTCCACCGTCTTCCACCAGTTTCACTCACTGGGTGTTCCCATCCTCTAACTCACCCAGACTGGACAAGGCCTGAGCCACGCACTTCTCAGAGTACTTCTCCGGATATCCTGAGGCATTGAAGTCGGTCAAATAGCCTCGGTGGAGGTTGGACTCCGTGGATGTCATGGTTGGACCTCCATTGGATGACCATGTTCCTTCACAAACGCAATGGTTTCCATTTCCACTATGATTCCACGGAGTGTAGATAACCTTGAAAGCCAAACTGACATAAAGGCAATCTTTCGAGAGCAACCAAACAGTCCCATGCTGAACAAAAAATACCGAACGGACATCCCCCTTACTTGATACCTTCAGGTGGCGTATTGCGCTTTATAAGCACCTGAGAAGCTGCAAAACGAAAGCCAGCGTTTTTTTGTCCACGAGCACGTTGTGGGCCAAAGGCAGCATGCAGCATTGCGCACGGCGTGCTTCCGTGCACTCCTACACACCACCTACTTTCGAGTGTGCTTTCTCAGGCCAGCTTCTTGCTCAGCTGGCGCCTTGCCAGGTATAGATACCCAGGGTAGCTACAATTCAGATACCAGGTATAGTACTTCAAGTTCCCTTTCCGTCAACCGCTCGATAACCTTTACACACGCACAGCAATCCACAGCTTTGAAGTCTCATTCGTGCTTTGAACTTATATGTGTGTAAGAGGTATAGCAACATAGCATTTATACGGACCCAGGGTATAGCTACAATTCTGTTGCCAGGTATCGCCCTTCAATTTCCCTACCCTGGGTCCGCGCGCGCGCGCCTTGCTGGCTCCCGGCTGCCCTAGATTTAGGCGCGCGCGCGCGGGGTCCCAGGGCAGCGACAAGGCAGTTGCCAGGTATACCCAGGGTAGCTACATTTCAGTTGCCAAGTATAGCACCTCAAGCAACCGAAGACAATTGCATTTCTTATTGAAAAGCACCTCCAAAACCTTGCTTCCGTGCACCCCTACACACCACCTGCTTTCGAGTGTGCTTTCTCAGCCCCCGAAACCCCCTTCTTACTCAGCTGGCGCCTTGCCAGGTATAGATACCCAGGGTAGCCACAATTCATTTACCAGGTATTATACAGGTGTGTAAAAGGTATAGCAACATAGCATTTATACGGACCCAGATTAGCTACAATTCTGTTCCCAGGCGCGGACCCAGGGTAGGAAAGCTACCTTTGAGCAACGTGCAGCAATCCACGGATCTGAAAACGCATTAGTGCTTTGACCATCTTTGGCCTTATATAAATGTTCTGCATTCACAGCTGCACGAAGCTACAACACATCGGCCTCTGCAAAACTACACCTTACCAATCAAATGATGCAAATTGCATTTCTTGCATCACCACTGTCACCACCCCTCAAAAATCACAAAAACTCAACCTCAAAAACCTTCCTTCCGTGGACCCCTCTCCCCCACCCAATTTCGAGTTTACGTGGTACGTTTGCGGGCCACCCCCCGCCAGACCGCCTACTTCCTCACTTCGTTCGCCAAACACAACGAAGGCTGGCGCCTTCTACGAAGGCTGGCTTTCGTAACTTAGCTGCTATAAAATGACCTGCAAGGCATTATTCTCTATAAAATGCTAAAACCAACACTTTTTTTTAAAAATGACAATGCTTCAGGCAGACTCCGGTCAATGTCATGAGATATCCATATTCTGGAACCCGTATTTTGTTTATAAAATACACCTCCCTCTCCTACATGGTGTTATCTTTCCAGGGTCCCCTGTCATATGGCACACATGTTTCTATAAAATGACCCCTGGAAATGGCATTTTGTAAGCACAAGGCATCTGCATTTCATAGAGGTACATGTAAGGAGGATGAACGGACGTCAAATCCACGTCATCCCCCGGCATTTTCCTGATCAACCACCACGTCATCCACCGGTGGAAGGTCCCCACGTTCGACCGACCGATCGACTGCCTTTCGTGTGAAATCCCGGACCGATCGCGGTCAGGCGATCGGTGGCGGAACCCGACGTGCACCTTTTCGCTGCACTTGATCCGGCAAAAATGTTAATTTTGATTGTTTATAACCTCCTGAGGTTGAAGTCTTTTTCCACCTGGTTGGACTTGAGTGGAAGAACCACTACCCACCACTACACACCCCGCCCCAAAAAAAGTAGTTTTGCAGGTTACTGGTAGGCCTGAGTCATCAGTCACACCAACTTCAGTCAGGCCAGGAGCAGCGCTTCTGGTCCGCGGTGCAGGTCACAGGACATTCCCAAGATGTTGGCATACAGTACTCCTGGCGTCGGTTTCTCCCATGTTGACCAGCTTCGAATCATTTCAGCTCGCAATTCCTGCCCTGAACCGACTGAACCGTTGGTTTCACCCAAACTGAGTGAGTCCATGACTGTGTGACACCCGACTCACATGGAAGTGCACGAAGGAAAGTAGTCTTCCAAGTATAGGGACCATGCTATCCACTTCCATGTCGATATTCCCTTGATTTCCCCTGCTTCGCTTGGCCAAACAGCTAGGTGCATCACCGCAATCGCTCAAACACACGTTCGCTGTGAAGCCAATCAATCAAACATGAAAGTCTGGAAAAAGGCAAAGCTGAGAGAAGCACAACACAACCAAAACAGCTCAAGGTTCAGGGATCTCTGTACCTAAGACCCCCCAAAACGACGAAATAAACTGCAAGCAGGGTCATGCAAATAGTCGCAGGCCATGCAAATCACTGAAAGACAATTCCCTACAGTGCAGCATCCTACAGGTCCAGCCCACTCCTTGCCCAGCCTCACTTCTCACCTCCACCCAGGCTCCTCTTCCCAGCCCCACTCGTCGGTCCATTTGCACATCTTGGCATTGGCACCACAGGGGCAAGTGTCTTCCAAGGCGGCACAGGTCTCGTTCACTGGCACGGAATAGTCCTGAGATGTCTCCAAAACCTAGATTTTAGACGAGCCCTGTCGGGATCTGTCGGGCATGGCAGCTTTATAGTGCAAAATGCTGCTGCAAGGAAACCGTTCACAGAAGGGTGTGCACTCAATCAAATAAATTGAAACCACTGACATTGATAGAGGAAATTGCCAAGGAAATCCTATTTTAGGGAAGAACATTTGGTGTTCTTCTTCACTTGAGAATCTCATTGACATGACGTCTCTTTCCCAATGTGCTTCCGGGGATGAAGTTCCACCCCAGAGTGTATTTTAAGTTAATGCATAATGCTATCAATTTACTTCGGGGGTGGACATGAATCCGCCGGAATTCCACTGTGATCCCTTGTAGGATTCTAAGGAGTTGTAGGGTTGTAGGTCATGTATTCACAGGATCGTTTCCCACTTTTGTCCTGTCTGTGTATGAGTGTGTAACTGAATAGGGAGAACCCTCCTCACCCTGGCTGGGTCGACTGCCTGGCCATCTCCTTAGTCCAAGCCATCCAACACTTCCTGTCGCATCCTCTACTCCATCGCCGTGGCTGACCTCGATTGATCCAAGGATCCCACTCGCCTGCGCGGGACGTCCGTCGGATCGCCGAAACGAGCGATGTTTTACCCATCTGCTGGATGAGACTGGATCGAGGCAGCTGGGACACGACATGCTTACCAGTGTAGGGTTTCCGTGCTCTCGAAAAAGAGAGTCACCTCATACGATCGACCATCTTAAGGGTCCATAATATATACCTAGAACATCCTAGAGAGGTCTCCTAATTTCTCCGAAAAGTCACAACATGCTAGCACATGCTAGCCAATGCTCGCATGGCGGAAAACAAACAACCACACGACACGTGGCCTTCAGGTGTGTAGGACACGGGATAGCAATACTTCTGGTCCGCCGAGCAGGTCACCGGGCAGCCGTAGAAGGTGGACTCGCAATAGGAGTAGCCATCCATGGCACCTGGGAGCTGTGGAACAGCAAGTGGGGTGCCATTGGGGTGCCGGGGTCAAGTGGAAGTGTCATTTGGGTCCATTTGGGTCAGGGAAACTCAGCCAGAAGTTTCTTGAGAAAAGCAGCCAGCGCCACCCTAAGAGACTCTTTTCGGGGAGAGATGGAGCTTGTCCCAGTGAAGGGGAGGAGGAGCAAGGATGGAACATGCGGCCTTGATCCAAGGGTGTCGGATCAACAACATGGATCCCCTGAGCCTCAAGCAGTGCCACCAGTGTAACTGGGTGTGGCTGGAAGAAACGGAGAACATCACGAGTCTGGGGACAGGACATGCACATGTTTTTCGTGACCATCCTTGGTGTCAAAGCATTCATGAGACTGGTAGAGTTACATACATTCACCCCATGAAAATGACCCGTTCAGGCCCTAAGGTAAGCAACTCTTCCATATCCAGCAGCACTCAAAAAGTGTGCATTGGATGGAATACATGGTCAGGTGACCTGACTCAGGTCTATTAACCACCCAAACCGGTGATGCTGGACTTGGAAGATCTGGGTTCTGTCAGCGTTGTTTTGCAAATTTAGCCCACCAGATCCAGCTTGACCATCACACAGGCATCATCAGCCGTTGAGTAGTTGGCCGGAAGGCATTGGATGAACTGAAAATTATCCGTCCTTGCGATGGGTTCAAACCTACCCCATGGTCAGTACTTCTGGCAAGAACTCCAATATCAAGTTCTTAACCTCCATGTCCGGCTATGTGTCAATCTCAAGCAATACCACCCGGCACTTTTGGGTGGTTTGTAGAAGCCTCCTACTGACTCCCTGTCCATATGTTTTCCATATAGTTGTTTCTTTCCATTTAATCACCATCCACACTGGGTGCTACTCCTTCAACTTGCTCGTCTCGTCGTGAAACCACCACCAATCCTCCGGGGTCGGGTCCACCAAAACCACCACCAATACTCGCCAATACTCGGATCGACCGAGAAGCAAAGCTGGCTGTTCGTTCCACAGGGGCAATCTTCATTCGCATCATGACACACGTCCGATCCACCGAGCCAATTGCCTTGAAGCGACGTGCCAGGAGGTTCGTGAGTGACGGTTCGTGCCAGGTTCGTTCGTTTCGTGACGGTTCTCTGAGTTAAGAGGGTCGAACGCGTTTTAGTGAGACCCATGATCCAGAGATTGAGCCCTTTTTTGTGGGACTCAGCGTGGAAAGATCCGTTTTGGGGGACTTGAGAGATGAAGCGCTTCGAGCACGGAAATGGAGAATGGGCCCTTGGAAGACGACTTTCCTCGGTAAACAGAAGGTTGTTCACCTTCATGTTCGTTGGAGGGAGGGTACTACCATTGTTGTCAGCTTGAAAGTTGCTTACAAGGGTTTGGCTGAATCATTCTGCTGAACACCTCCGCTGCCCAGGGCCAATGACACATTACAATTCTTTGGGGCTGACATTACGAAACATGCGCAGTGTCATGGCGTGCATCGTAAGAAGACCAGCTGGCACTTGGAGGAGGTCGAAGCCTTCGAGCTTGCCCTTTGTAGATACTCCAAATGAAACACCCAAACACTCCATGTATGTATGGAATATGACATTGACCCCCCAAACCAACCTGTGATGGTTATAAGATCTCCGTGAATGTCGACATTGATTTCAACCTGAAAAAAAATATATCTGGAGGTCAAAGACCTGATTTTGCTGGAGCTTATCCTGCAAAGCATACTACTCAATGAGGTAGAACAAATGGACCAACGACCCCGAAATGACCGAACCGACATGCTTGCTTCCTTCCCGCATCCTCCCGCGGTAAGCCGCGGATAGGCCTGAAGCATCGTAGTCAGCGACCCAGCAGAGCTGCTGCTCAGAGGTGCAAACCTCTGGACATGTGTCCTCAGAAAGAAAGAAACACGGAGATGAACGAAACAATGAAAGAAGAAGATTGGATCGTTTTCTTGTGCTGATCCACCCGCTAATGATAGAAGAGGATTGATGTGGTTTGATTCTCCCTTTTTGGGTAGGTGTCCTCAGTGGAACTGAGTCAGACCCGAAGAGCAAAGCCAGTTGAGGTTGCTGAAAAAGCTTTGCTGAAGGCCAACGAGCGAATGAATGGCATGATGGCATGGCACAGTTGATTGCAGTTGACAGTTTCAGTGATGACAAGAAGACACAAGAAGACAGGCGCGCCTACTTGGAGGGCCTCCCATTTCTCGTACCAAGCCACGAGAGGAGCCAAACGATCTGTCAGATTTGGACCCCGGGAGGTGAGGCAAGATGATTGACATCTGGGGGTTACAAAGCCCTTATACTAACGGAGAAAGACTTCAGCCCAATACATCAGCAACTTGGCATATGACGGGAAAAAAACATCGCAACAAAAACGGAGGTCCCTTTGCTCGATTCCAGCTTATGATGCTTATGGACTTATGGTCTATGGTTGTACAGTATCCCAGCGCATGCAGGATGATTTGTCCGTCCAAAATATGTCAGCAACTGTAGAACCTGTTTTTGTTTTTTGTGTACCTCCTTGAGTAGTGTTTTGTATGACCAACTCCAGTATTTCATAAGGTCAAACTGACCTGCAGGGATATGACAGTTACGAATGTCAGTGACCTGGTTCTTCCAAAGTGAACCTTTGAGATCCCCCTCAAACACGTCACAAAGAAGCTGCGACTTTGGGTCACTTGCGAACCCTCAATTCTGGTCACTTTGAAGCTGGGCCAGGTGCGGCCAGTGCGCCCTGGCTCGATCGAAAACACCTGAGTCCACCCTCGCCCCATCCGTCCACGTCGTGCAGCACGCTCAGACTCGCGGCGCTCAGACTCACGCAATAGGCGTCCCATCCATCGCCGCACTTCTTGGCCGTCTCGTTCTTGCAAATCACTGGGCAGTCCCAATCATCTGGGCCTCAGTCACTTCCGTCGGCCGCCTTTCCGCCTTCTGAGACCGTTGGTCCCCGACCGGGCCCTGACGGGTCGCGGACCGCGGAGCGACCGCGCAGGATGTTCGAGTTGACCACGGAAGATCTGAGGTTGACTCTCCGTAAAGAACAGAAGAAGCATGAATAAGGGAAGTGGATCAAGAACATCTGAAGATCAAGCTCTAAATAAGCAAAACACGGACGTAGGTGGATAGGCTGGACTCGATGAAAGCAAAACAAATCTGCCGCGTGGCCCGTTGGTTTGATGAATGAGTTGACATGTACAGCACAGGATCGTTCGGTACTCCTACCTCAGGATCGCAGCATGGCTTGGAACTTGGAACCTAGATCATACCTTCCTTGCCTGCACTACCCCATAACTCCCATATATCTAAAACAATCGAACACAATTACACCTGATCCATCCTGATCCCCTGGTTGAGGGTCTTAGACATTCCTGGAAAAGAAGTTCAGAACTCCAAAGTTCAGTCACTTTGCAATCAATCTGAAGCCACTTTTGTATATCAATGCCATTTCAAAGCCACTTTGTAATTCGAATTTGAACATGTTCTTCCACCTGGGGTGACCACACGGTCCAGTGACCATGCATTCTCCTGGACCACGTGGCGCCCCCAAGCGGTCCAACCCGTTCCGTCCGCATCGCTCTTTCCGTCGGTTCTTCACCGGTGGTCGGATCAGGAAAACGAACAAGGAACACACGTATAGATCAAAAAGACACCATCCTTAGTAACATGCACGTGTCTCTATTTATTTCAATAAATCTATTTCATGTATAATATCCATTAATTTCAAAAAAAACATAAAACCGTCGCCATCTATCTTGCACCGCATAGTCTTCCAGGTGCGCAGTGGGGTACTTCTCCCGTCCAGGGGCTGGTCTTCAATTTGCAGTACTCCGTCCAGGTCATAAAGCCCGAAGCGTCGTATCCTGCGTGCGTCGATTCGTCGATCAAGTGGGTGTCTTGGTCCAACAGGGTGTGCTCATCTTGCAGGAGAGGTTGGCACATATGGACGGAGGTGTGTTGCGACAG